TTTCATTAAATCACTTCCTTTAAATCGCTTTAAATCTTTTTCCATACGACAACATTCATTAGAATAATTAGAACTTTACATTTAAGGGGGAGAAAAAACCCGTGAAAAACCAGAGATTGAAAAAGTTCGTTTAACTTTCAATCCCCGATATTTAAATATACCAATTTTAGTGAATCACTCTGTGTTCGTTGGTCAACTCTTTTCTGTATTGATGATACCACCTCTCTTCGCGAGATCCGCAAACGATACAATACGCACGGTACTCTCGTTGTGACTACCGGAAAAAGGTGCTCAAATAGAGAAACGTCGGACAAAAAACGGAGGAGAGACAAAAATTGAGGCTACCGAACGAACCGGCGCAGTACCCATCACTACACGTTGGAACGGGGTGGCGAAGGGATGGCAACACACATCGCGGACTCCTCTTTTTTGGACGACGCACTCGAAAACGCAATGTTTCTCACTACTGCGAATTTTCCGCCTCGTTCGTTTGTCTGGCAAACGATGTGAATAATGCCTCCGGATGAAAGCTCGCTATCGTCAGGACGCGACTGACCACCTTCGTCTTCGTTTCTTCCTACATTTCAGTCGATCTTTCAATGTCTCTTACTCTTTCTCGCTCTCGCTATTCGTTCTCCGATCTTCTAGCGTCCAGTTTCCACTCCTCGTTTCGATTCACCCGAGCAACGGCGGCGGCGGAATCGAACGAGAGGAAAAAAGGCCTTCCCCCCTTTCCCCGTCTAGACCTAGTAATCCACCCAGTCATTATCTAAAACGTTCCGAGCGAAGCTACTAAATGCCATCGGTATCTTTCTCGGTGGCCTCCATCTCCGCTGCTTCGCCTCCTTTGCCATCGCCCGCCATTCCGTTCTATCTCGGTATGCCTTCCGAGATCGCACGAATGGTCTTTTCAACTTCGTTGCTGTGGAGAGGTGTGGGTGGAAAGGTGCAATCGTACCGCCGCGTGATATTTGCTTGTTCCCAGGAACAAAGTGATGCGCGCGAAAATGATTACATGAAACGACATAGAAGGCTGTCGGTGGAACTCCTTTTAATTTCAAGTACTACATCGCAGATACTCTCTTTTCTACGTGAAAAGGGGATGAGATAATATTCGAAGGACTTTCAACTTTTCGGAAATTTATACCGAAAGAGAGTTTATTAGACGTGTACCTGATATAAACATAAATATTAATATATATATTGATAATAATTTTATATTAATATATAAAAAAAGAAATTTGTTTAAAAAATGATTGCGCGATAACGAACTTTAATTTTAAGCAATTATAGAAAGATCAAAGCAATCCTTATTGCGAATACTTGATAAGACATTTGAAAAGAATGCAAGAGGAATCGCTAACTGCATCTCTGATTTCTTTATAATTTTACGGAGCATTCATGTCTTTCTTATCGCTATGGAATAAAGGTCTAAGTGGCTTACCGATCCATTAACATAAGTATGGCATCATTTCTTTATTAGAGCCCACCAATCGGTTGCGTTATCTAAATTCGACTACAGCGGTTGAGGGGATTAATGATAGCCGAGGATAATGGCATGCGCAGTCAAGGATCGAGACAGATTACAGGCATAGCGAGAAAGAAGGAAAGAGACAGAACGGGTGACATGGAACGCGAAGTCTGATAGAAGAAATAGCTCTTGCCGAGGACCGGCATTCCAGGTGCCTATTTCGAGAATGACTGGATTCGTTTTCGGATGTTGTGTCCGCGCTTCTATTTCGCCCTTCTTGCCACCCTGCTCGCTTTGTCCATTGGAATCACGCCAGTTATCGCGGTGGTACGAGACGCGCTCTTTCTTGATCTCGCCGTCGGCGATACGTCGCTTCCCTTCCCTTCTCGACATTTTCGTTCGATACCGGCATCCCGGCATTCGCCTGGACCACGGACACTCCCGACGAAGTGCCCGAGGTTTTTTAATCTCGAGATTCTCGAGTCCAAAATCACTATTTACTTCACTCAAAAACGTGACGGTAATTTCGGGGACATTATATGTACGTTTCATCTTCTCTTCTTACGTTTCTTTATCGGACATTTTAAAAAGAAAAATTATATTTAAAAGAAAGTTATCTTAATGAAGTCCGATTCTTTCAAAATTTTTAACGATAACATCGTTCCATGAACATTTATATCAAATTGAAGTAATTTTCTTGTCTTAATCGCAGCTATAATGATGGAGAAACCAGCGTTTCTTATTTCGTTGCGATAACGAAAATAAGTTTCTTCGGTCTTCTGACGATGTCAGATAAAGAGAAATAAGAGTTTATATAGAATATTTCAAAATTACGATTATCCTTTAAGTTCTGGATTCTTTATCTAATTAAGGAATGTTTTTTGCTTAATAAAGTTTTAATGTAATGCTGATTTATTTCTATTCTATATTCTTATTACTGCGCTCTTTCAAATATTACAACGTTGTATAATTAATTCTCAAGTTAAAAGTTATATTAAAGTGAAATCTAGTTAAACGTTCTAGCTTAATTTTACACTATACGGCTTTGTTGCATAATTTGAATATCCCCATTGATACCCGTATTTAAGGATTAACAACTTTGAAACAACAGTTTGTCATGCATACTTAAAAGCGCCAAACATAAGATGTTTAATTAAGGCATGTAAGTTTACTAGAATAATTCATAAAAAAAATAATTAATTTTGAATGCGAGACAGATTTAAACTTGATGTTTTTTTTGCTATACTTATGAATGGCGAGCTATTGTATTTTTGACAATAGTTACGCTATAGGCGGGCAGCATAAGAGTTCAGCAGTCAATACAATTTCTGTTTGAAAAATGGTTTCCCTGTTTGAAATTGATCCGAAGAAAGGTTTGTTTGTTCAAAAGCGTCTCGAGCTGAATACTCCTCTACTACCAAACAGTCTAGCCTTCTGCATGTATCATAAATTTTGCTCCGTTTTCGGTATAATGGGATCTACATGATTCCACACGCTTAAAAAAAATGATTTTATCTTTTTTTACGTTTTGCTATTCGTTACGGCAACGTTTTTCGACGGTACGAAGTTCGAGTGACCTCGCTGAGGATTAAGAATCGTGAAATAGGCACTAGCGGATATCCATATCCATATACGGCACGTACGGCGGGTATCAAAATTCCGTCAGCATGCAATATCATAGCGGTTGCAGCATCCAGCGCGGTAAAAACCTCGTCTCGACCAAAGAAGCAAAGGACTAAGGAGAGAGTGCAGCAACGAACGGGGTGTGTACGGCGGGAGATGCAGCGACAAGCAGCCATCTTAATTACCTAATTTTTTCGACGGCATCTTAAAGACTCGAAGACAATTAATAACGTATATGACGAACCCGTCGGGTCTGAAAATGCGGTTTAAAATTTTTGTCCCTTTATGAACACAGGTCAGAAACCTGATTATCTTTTGGGATTCTATTCGGTTCTACAAGAGGCCATGCTGGACGAGTAACTTTGACGCGAAATGGAAAATTCATATCGAAGTTAAATAAAAAATAATCGGGAAACATAGCGAAGTTTAAGTGAACGGTTGTTATCGGTATACCAGATTCGGATAAGCCGAAATATCGCACTTGAAAATTCAGAGTAATCGAAAATAGTCCTGAATGATCAGCTGGTCTAAAATTAAATTCAATTCCGACGCGAAGAGACTCAAATGTCGGATCTTTTCTCTCGAAAATTTCTGTTGCCCGGCGCACTCCTAGTGATTAGAAACACATGCCATTAGCAACAGTTCGGATACCTGATAGTTTAGAACTTCCGGCGCAATTTCTTGGTAATGAGAGATTGCCTCCTCTTTAATCTTTTATCCCCTTCGGTTCTAACATCGCAATATGTATCTTATTTTACTCCTTTTTTCCTCAATTTTCTTAGAACAAAGCAAAGGCGTGCTGTCATTCAAATTTTTATTTTTCCCGGAACTTCCTTAAGACCGACTATCCCAAATTTCCGTCTGGCGTATATAAAAATTCACGCGTAGTAGTTGGAATGTCGATTTTGCTTCGACACATCGACGTATTCGTTCGATAACATACAGACTGCCTCTCCATTTATTCTTTCTTTTTTTCCTCTTTCCGTCTCTTTTGCCCTTTCATGTCGACTACTATTCTGTTTCGATGAAAAGCTCGACCAGTTCGGGCGTAAACGATGGCGAGTATTCAGAAGTGTATTGCAAAAATTGTGCCAATGGAGAGGCAAATCGCATTCGCACAAGTGGCTTGAAAAATTTAACTTTGGTTGGCGCATTTCGGTATCGAAACAGAAGTTGTCTCAGTCGCCGCAATTTTTGTACGTACATTTATCCTTAAATACAGAATCGCGTTTGTATCACAGTTTGTATTACGTGAAAAAAAAAAGATAATAGCACTCTGTTCGCGAAAAGCAGAACAAGTAATTGTTCCTTCTCAAACACATTCCTGTACAATACCAATGTACAATTAAGATTAATTGGTTCGTGTGCAGCGTACCGTGATAGATGATAGACACAGAAGTAATGTCTCGAGTACCATCTCACCGCAACGGTATATTACAACTCGCGCTATTATGTATAAACTGCAGGATGTTTGGAGAGTAGATAGCGGAGAAAGAGTATAAATCATAATTATGAGCTTTGCGCGCATAGTAATATAAGTAAAACCGCCCATCAAAATAATGCCGACTATCAAGACAACAGAAATCAGACGAACAGTTTAGAAGATGCTGTTTGAACTCTCGTACTACTTGGGTAAGCAAGTCAGTCTGGATAATCCTATTTCAGGTTCTCTTTCTTAAAGCACACCATATTCTACATCCACTGTCAATGCGAAAAACTAACATTGAACGGGCCAGGTAAAGGAGAACAATAATAGAAAAGAGGAAAATAGAATTCCATGAGAAATTTTCTCTCCGTGAAAGTAGCATGGAACGAAAACACGCTTCAAAAACGATCGTCAAGAGATCGGCGTAGAATCTGCGAATATAGCAAGAGAGGATGACGATCTAGTATACTTGATACTCACGTTACTTTCGAGCCGGCGATTACGCTTATTGCAGTCGTCTAATAACGGAGGATTGTTTTCTGCAGGAGAGACGAAGCGAGCCGTTGTTTCGAATTATTCCGCGCCTTTGGACCTGCAACAGGAAGCATAAAATGAAATTAATGTCGTAATAATCGCACTGCCGCATAACGTAAGTCAGCAAAGCCACGCCCTTGAGACGCGGTTAATTCCGCAATAATTGTACTACACGGCGAATTATCGCGATTGTATTACACACTTCGCGATACACGTGGACAAGTGTTAACACCGGAAACAGACTCGCTTTAATACGCGAAGCACAGTCTTGTGTTATACAGAACAATTCGGGAGAGAACAGTAACGCTTCTGGCATGTTTAGAAAATAAAATAAACGAAAGAGTTCCTGTGAACGTAAGTGTATCACTGATACACTCAATTTAGCTAATAATAAGTAACTAATAACAGCTAATAATTTAGATAAAAATACGTAAAAAAAGAAAGAATTATAATATATTAGTAAAAATATGTACATAATAGGTATATCGAAAATCTATACGTATAAGAAATTATTACTTTTTTCAATTATTATTTTATGTAAAAATATATACATATAATGCAAATATGTAATGTTTGCATTATATTTTGGTTCACACTTTCTTCGAACAAAGTGTAACGTGTGTGCGGGTAGAAAAATCGGTCCGACACGGGTGTCAGCTTTCCAACAATTCTTTCGGGTATAATCGTGCCAAATCTTATCCGTGTGAAAAAACGCTACACGCAAATGCTTCATCAGTCGACATTCTCATCGCCCATTTAGCGTTAAATGCGGCAGTCCGACTCTCATCTTGTGCTCACGCTGAATGCGATCTTCCCGATAGACAAGCGGAACTCGTGTGAGTTGGATTTATCTCCGACAAAGATCGCAGAAAAAACGATTGCGCATTCACCGGCACAAGTAAATTTCTTTCGCCGACTTCCGAAAAAAATTGCGCCCATGTGTGCGATTTTATCGCAACATGACTCAAGAACATGCGAAGCATACAAATTTCATATATAAGGGGTCTCAGTATCACCGGATATAGTTTTAATTATAACTTCTATGATTAATTTGAAGCGAATATGTGAAATTAATTTCTTTGATAAGACGGCAAAAAGAGTATTGTTTATCGAATTTGTTCAAGTTGTAATCTTATGAATTATAACACTAAAAATTTCAGATTAAAATACTAGATATTAACTTTGAATTAACATTATTTAAAAAATATTTTTTGTTTGAATTATGTAAAAAGAGATGTAAAAATATATGTATAAAGTAAAATCACAAAAATAGGGATAATTTTAATTGTTAAAAAAGAATTAAAAAATTTCTTCTCTGTTAAAAATATCACGATGTTATTACATTCAGTCGTCACATTCAGTCGTCACATTCAGTCGAGTTAACTCCACTCTCTTCGGTCATAATAATTTAAAAGAATGAGTTAAGAGACGATTGTTTCTCTGTGTTCAATGACTTGTCGTTGAGTTATAATGGCTCGCTATAAAAACCGATGAGTATTATTTATGATACCCGAAGACTCTAAGAGCGCACACATTTGTTCGCTCGGCAGGATGTACCACGTTCGTTTTCGAGACGACGACGAATCGCCACAGACAGCTTCGTCGACAGCATCGTCGTTTCTACCTACCGTCTCTCGTTTAAACGAAACACGTCCGCTCCGATACCAAACCCACTGAGCAAAGGCGAGGAAATATTCGCGTTCCGTACGTCGTTGTCAAAATAAAAAGAGAGGGAGAGAGATTGGAAGGAAAACAAAACTGCATAGAGAGGTCTATAAAGGAAGAAAATACGAATAAGGAATAAGAGAAATAGAGAGAGGGGGGGGGAAGGGGAAGGGAGGGAAAGGAAGGGTAAACAAAGAGATGCGAAGAAAGAAAGATACGAAACGAAAAACGGAGAGAAAGAGTGAAAGCGAGATAACGAGCAAGTGGGAAAAGAAATGGAAACAAAAGGCGAAAGGGAACGGAAGGGAAGTGGAAAAGAGAACGGTAGAAGGGGGATGAGAAAGGCTGCGGGCGAATGACATTGATGAAATGCTTCTCAGTGGCGAACATGTAACGCGACCTCGGCGGATCGAGATAAACGCATTCGCGAGTCGGATTCCTGCACTCATCCCCTTTCCCCCTATTATCTTCCCTCTTCCTACCGTTCCCCCTGATGCTCTCGCCCACCACCTCACCGGATAGCACTGTATTCGCACGACGGCTCTTCCTTTAGTCCATTCGAGCTTTATCTCATTGACGAGATAGTTGGCTCGCCGAGATACATCCAAATCCACCGATACATACACTCTCCGACCAGCCGGCATGCTTACGATCGGTTTTAATCAGTGGTTCAGATCGATTCGATTGAAATCGGCCGAAGCGCGATTGAGGCCGGCGTCCGCTGCTACGCTCTGCTCTACGTGAAACTGAAATCGATACCGTTCGATTTGCTCACCGCAAAGCTCGTGACGTGATTTCGCGCGAGCGAAACGTGCGAAGCACCGAAAAGTCATAGTGCGAGAAGCAGAAATTAGCGAGAAGAAAAATCGAAGTCTAAAAACCCACCAAAAGTTGTAGAGATCATAATCTTGGAAATTATAACACTTTCAGAACAATCCTTGCCCTGATATCCTAGAATGTAATTCTGAAGTCTTGAAGATTTTATGTGCATAAAATTTTTCTCATAAATCTACTAATGCATAATCCTGATAGAAAAATTTACAGTTTTCTCAGCACCCTTCTAGTTACTGTCTAGCTATTACGTTACTGTATTGTAATAATATATTGTTAAATTCATAATGTTAAATTATACCTAATTTAAGTGATTTTTAATCATTTCTATAGGTCGCCAGTGCTTTTACTCAATTTATCCATTAATTTAATTAAAACAATGGAATTAAATAATTTAATTCAAGGAAATATATTAAATTTAATTCAAATTTAGTTTATTATTAACTAAGTGCATCATGTTAATATGAACGTTGTTTACTTCAAAAGCAACCACAAAAATGAGTTGATTTACATTTTGACATACATGGAGATGGAAGTTAAGAATAATAAAATGTTATTTAACTCAAGAGATTGACTTTCAACTGTGCTCGTTCATAACCGTGTACTGCGTAGGAAATGGACAAAAATTTGATAGAATTTTATTCAGTGGCTAAAGCAGTTTTCCTGGTAAAAATATATGCAATTTGCACAGACATCTTTCCAGTTATTATCTAGTATTAATAAATTATTATTAGTTATAAAATACTGCGCAGTACATTTATTGTCCCGTTTTTGTTCAGTAAATGGGTTTGGATTTTATACATCTTTTGTGCGCAATAACTGCAGACAAAGCATTATATCTTGATTGAGATTTCAATTATAAGTAATTTTATTTTTCAGTTACTAGACAGAGTTAATATAACTGTCTAGTAGCTGCTAAAAAAAATGTATGAAATTTCTACCAGGAAATATATCCTACGTACATGCATACAAAGTACGAAGAAATAGGAAATATATGATTTCCATTCTTTTTCATATTAATGAACGTGAAAGCAGATAAAAAACAGATATTGTATTTCCGCATTTAATTACGCTCTAGTCTGTTTTCCGCACGCGTGAAGAGATCGACGCGGAATTCTGAATTCAACGACACCGAGAATAGCGAATCGATAAGAAGCATACATGGCGAAGGTATTGCTGATTCCACTGCGTTATACTGTACGCATACTAATACGTTCATTCTTATTTATAAGTCGCGGCATAGGTAACGCGGTGAGCCTACGTAATATAGAGATTCCCGAGTAAGACGACGATGGCCTGCTTCGGCGTTTAAAAGCATCGTGTTAATACAAGAAGAGGGAGGGAAGAGGGAGGGGAGAGGGAGGGGAGAAGAGAGCGTAGGAAAGCGCCGACTTTCGAAGGAAGGAATTAAACTACTCGATGTAAAGGAGACGAAGGCGCAGCTTCCGCGTGTTCCTCAGCCTTATCGCCGAAAGTTCTACTCGCGAGCTCGTTTTCTCTTTCTGAGATTTGCTTAATGAGAAAAGTGAATAGAACTGTGGCTGTGCGCTACCGAAAGTAGCAAAGTTCTCATATACCGTGTCTCTCTAACCGTCGTCGGCGAACATCTTCGAACCGGGTGTATTCTCGGAGCTACGGTCACTCTGGTTTTTTTCCCTCGTAGAAAAACCATCCCCTTTCTGACGACCCTGCGCCACCGCTCTTTTTCCACGATCTCGCCTCGAACGGTCGAGTCCGTACGAGCTTACACTGATAACGGCCCCATGTTCCCTAAGGATTCCTCGCAGAGGTTTATTCGACAGTCCTCCTCGTACATGTCACATACGTGTAAAAATACACACACATACACACGCACATTACGTTTTTTAGAATGGACGTTTTACCGAATGGACAAGTTTGTACGGGAATCTTGTGCTGTTTTTGTCGCGTGGGTTTTTTTCCGTTTCTTTGAGGAGAGGTTCGTCAATAAGCACTGAAATATAGAGTATTGTTTAGAAAAACCGATAACAAATAATGAAGAAATAAATCAAAGCTTATATATTTTCGTAGGCTATTTATGATACAGAAAGAACATCTGCTTCTTTTGCGTTTTTTTCATATCTTGAATGATATTCATCTACATTACGAATTTTCTATACATATACTTATACCGTTCATTGAAATAAATTTATCTTCTATCCAACGAAATATCCTTATATATCTATGGAAATTGTATGTAACGGAAATAAAATATCATATCCTGTTCGACAGAAAATATAAAACACAATTTAAATAAAAAAATAAATCATTAATTCAATTGTGTTTCTAATGCAGTGAAAAAGAAATATGGAGAGATAGAATTTACCGAAAACATCAGACAAACAATCTGATATTTATGAAACAGAATTTGATTCTATCGATTTTTTGAACTTAACTATAAAACATTTTAATCAGATGGATATAATAAAAACATGATTTGTTTACATTACAGACATTGCAGAAATATATGTACATTATGCTCTTCATTATTCAGGGCAATTGAGAATGGGGTTGGCACGGATAATCGAGAAACGCGGGCAATCC